TGTGATGTGGTGCTGAGAAGAATGTATATTCTGTGAATTTGGGGTGGAGAGTTCTGTAAATGTCTATCAGGTTTGCTTGCTCCAGGTCTGAGTTCAAGCCCTGGATATCCTTATTGATTTTCTGTCTGGTTGATCTGTCTAATATTGACAGTGGAGTGTTAAAGTCTCCCACTATTATTGTGTGGGAGTCTAAGTCTCTTTGAAAGTCATTAAGAACTTGCCTTATGTATCTGGGTGCTCCTGTATTGGGTCCATATATGTTTAGGATTGTTAGCTCTTCTTGTTGTATCCATCCTTTTACCATTATGTAATGACCTTCTTTGTCTCTTTTGATTTTTGTTGCTTTAAAGTCTATTTTATCAGAGATGAGAATTGCAACTCCTGCTTTTTTTTGCTGTCCATTTGCTTGGTAAATCTTCCTCCATCCCTTTATTTTGAGCCTTTGTGTATCCTTGCATGTGAGATGGGTTTCCTGGATACAGGACACTGATGGGTTTTGGATTTTTATCCAATTTGCCAGTCTGTGTCTTTTGATTGGTGCATTTAGTCCATTTACATTTAGGGTTAATATTGTTATGTGTGAATTTGATACCGCCATTTTGATGCTAGCTGGCTGTTTTGCCCATTAGTTGTTGTAGATTCTTCATTATGTTGATGCTCTTTAGCATTTAGTGTAATTTTGGAATGGCTTGTACTGGTTGTTCCTTTCTATGTGTAGTGCCTCCTTCAGAAACTCTTGTAAAGCAGGCCTGGTGGTGACAAAATCTCTGAGTACTTGCTTGTTCACAAAGGATTTCATTTTTTCTTCACTTCTGAAGCTCAGTTTGGCTGGATATGAAATTCTGGGTTGAAAGTTCTTTTCTTTAAGAATGTTGAATATTGGCCCCCACTCTCTTCTGGCTTGTAGCGTTTCTGCCGAGAGATCTGCTGTGAGTCTGATGGGCTTCCCTTTGTGGGTGACCTGACCTTTCTCTCTGGCTGCCCTTAGTATTTTCTCCTTTATTTCAACCTTGTTGAATCTGACTATTATGTGGCTTGGGGTTGCTCTTCTTGCGGAATATCTTTGTGGTGTTCTCTGTATTTCCTGCATTTGAGTGTTGGCCTGTCTTGCTAGGTGGGGGAAATTTTCCTGGATGATGTCCTGAAGAGTATTTTCCAGCTTGGATTCATTGTCTTTGTCACATTCTGGTACACCTATCAAACATAGTTTAGGTCTCTTCACATAGTCCCACATTTCTTGGAGACTTTGTTCATTCCTTTTTGTGCTTTTTTCTCTAATCTTGGTTTCTTGTTTTATTTCATTGAGTTGATCTTTGACTTCTGATATTCTTTCTTCTGCTTGGTCAATTCGGCTATTGAAACTTGTGCATGCTTCATGAAGTTCTTGTGTTGTGTTTTTCATCTCCTTTAATTCATTCATATTCCTCTCTAAGTTATCCATTCTTGTTATCATTTCCTTGAATCTTTTTTCAAGGTTCTTAGTTTCTTTGCATTGATTTAAATCATGTTCTTTTAGCTCACAAAAGTTTCTCATTATCCACCTTCTGAAGTCTGATTTCATCATTTCGTCACACTCATTCTCCGTCCAGCTTTGTTCCCTTGCTGGTGAGGAGTTTTGGTCCCTTCTAGGAGGTGAGGTGTTCTGGTTTTGGGTGTTTTCCTCCTTTTTGCGCTGGTTTCTTCCCATCTTTGTGGATTTATCCACCTGTCTTCTGTGTAGTTGCTGACTTTTCGGTTGGGTCTCCGAGTGGACACCCAGATTGTTGATGATGAAGTATTTCTGTTACTTGGTTTTCCTTCTACCAGTCTAGCCCCTCCACTGTACAACTGCTGAGGTCCACTCCAGGCCCTGCTTGTCTGGGGTGCACCTATAGCAGCTGCGGAACAGTGAGGGATGCTACCAGTTTCTTTTTCTGCTATCTTTGTCCCAGAATGATGCCTGCCAAATGCCAGTCTTTTGGATATAGAGGGGTCAGGGAGCTGCTTGAGGAGACAGTCTGTACTTTATAGGAGCTCAAGTGCTGAGCTGTGAGCTCTGTTGTTCATTCAGGGCTGTTAGGCTGCTATGTTTAATTCTGCTGCAGCTGAACTCATAAAAAAACCTTTTTTTTCCTCAGATGTTCTGTCTCGGGGTGGGTGGGGGTTGGAGCTTTCTTTGTGAGTGTCCGTTGTGCTGTCCTGCCCAGCTAGGAGGCAGTCTAGGCTCTATTTGGCTGCTGAGGCTCTGCCCTGCAGGTGTGAGGTTCGCCCTGTTGCTGCAGGCTCTGCTGTGCTGCTGCGGTCTCCGCCCTGCTGCCATGAGCTACGCCCTGCGGCAGAGTCTCTCTGTTGTGGCGGGTTGCCTCGGCAATGGTAGGCTGAGTCAGCAATGGGCGTGTACCTCAGTAGGGGCGGATTGCCTCGGTAATGGCAGACGCTCCTCCCCCACGGAGCTGCACCGTCCTGGGTTCAGCTGTGCCCTCACCTGGAGCGTTTGGAATTGCCATTTTGTTTGTCCCACTGCGCTACCCCAAACGCTGCTTCCCTGGAATCTCCTGGGCTGGCTCATTGTCCAAGTCCCGTTCAGTCTCAAGTTCAGCCCTCTCAAGTCTCAGATTGCTGGTTTAACAGGGCACCCGGACCAGTGCTCTTTGTGCGGAGCGCTGTGTAACGCCACTGCGCTATAGCGCCGGCCAAAACCTCTGCCTGGCGTCCTGCATCTCTTTTATACCTGGGAATTTCCCCGTTCTGTAGGCAACAAAGATCCGTCTGGAAATGCGGCCCTGACTCACCCTCTCCGTGCATTCACTGAGAGCTTCAATCCTGGGTTGTTCTCACCGCGCCATCTTGAGTCCCCCCCACCTCCGTACAGAATATTTTAAAAGGCTTTTTTCTTTTACCCAAATATTGCAATCTTGCTTTTCAGAAGTCTCGTATCAATATACCTTCTAACTAACACTGTGTAAAGTGTCCATGTTACTGAATTCTGGCCAAAAGTAAATTTTAAAATTTGAAAATAAAAATGTAAATGTAATATGCTTAAAACAACTCTGTTTGATTACATATAAATGTGTTGTTAAATAATGTAAATTTCAAACATACTTTGAAGTATAGCAATCAATAAATAGAGTGGAGATCCACGAGCTTACTGCCTAGTCCTGTCAAATCTTGATTTGTCTGCTCTATGTTTGCTTCAGATATGTTTTGGAATTTAAAAAAATTCCAGATAAATTTGAAGCCACTCTGTATTCGTGCATCTTTCTCTTTCCCCGTCTTCCACCTTCTCGCAGGTAATGTTTCTTGAAATTGGTACTCACCATTCTCAGGCATTCTTAGTCCCCTTTTCCATGTGTATGTCCATGTGCAACAGACAGAAGGGTTTACATTTTTAAAAATGTATATGAATAAGGCTGGGTGCGGTGGCTCATGTCTGTAATCCCAGCACTTTGGGACGCTGAGGCAGATCAGGAGTTAGAGATCAGCCTGCCAGCCTGGCCAACATGGTGAAACCCCATCTCCTAAAAATACAAAAATTAGTAGGGTGTGGTGGCACATGCCTGTAATCCCAGGTACTTGGGAGACTGAGACACGAGAATCGCTTAAACCTGGGAGGCTGAGGTTGCAGTGAGCCGTGATTGCTCCACTGCACTCTGGCCTGTAGTCCCAGCTGCTTGGGAGGCACCTGGCCTGGGTGACAGAAGGAGACTCGGTCTCAAAAAGAAAACCACTTCATATGACTAGTACCATATGAGTTGACCATTCCTGATCTCCAAATCCCAAATCCAATATGGTCGAAAATTTAAAAGTTTTTGAGCTCTGATATTACATCACAAGTGGAAAATTCCATATCTGATATCATGGGGTGGGTTGCAATCAAAACACAGGCAGACAACACACTGTTTATTCAGCATCCCTAAGGGCAAAAAAGACTCTCCCAGCCCTCTTCAGCTGAGAGATATCTTTTCTGTGCACACCCAGATTCCCCCATCCAAGTGTGCACACAAAGGGTAGTGAAATGGCATGTGTGCAGATGGAATACACCCGTGACAGGTCCCCACAATTTCCCATATGGAGCTAAGGCCTGCCTCTGTCCACTGCTCACTGTGGTATTTTTGCTTATTATCTGCTCTGTGGTCTAATGATATTGTTAAAAATGTTGGCCAGGTGCAGTGGCTCACGTCTGTAATCCCAGCACTTTGGGAGGCCAAGGCAGGTGGATCACTTGAGCTCAGGAGTTTGAGACCAGACTGGGCAAAATGGTGAAACCCATCTACTAAAAATATAAAAATTAGCCTAGTGTGGTGGCACGCACCTGTAATCCCAGCTACTCAGGGGGCTGAGGCCAAGAATCGCTTGAACCCAGGAGGCTGAGGTTGCAGTGAGCTGAGATTGTGCCACTGGACTCCGCCTGGATAATAGAGTGAGGCTCTGTCACAAAAGAAAAGAAGGAAGGAAAGAAGGAAGGAAGGAAGGAGGGAGGGAGGGAAGGAGAGAGGGAGGGAGGGACGGAGGGAAGGAAGGAAGGAAGGAAGGAAGGAAGGAAGGAAGGAAAGAAAGAAAGAAAGAAAGAAAGAAAGAAAGAAAGAAAGAAAGAAAGAAAGAAGGAAAGAAAGAAAATGTCACAAAGGTCTGTAGATACTCCCGTGGATAATAGTGATAAGAAAAGAAAGCATTTATGTTTATGACACAGAAAGTCAAACAGTTGGAGATACAAGGCAGTGGTGTAAGTGTGAAATGTCTTACAGAAAAGTACGGTGTTGGAATGACCACCATACAGGACCTGAAGAAATAGAGGGATAGACTGTGGAAGTTCAGTGCTGCAAGTGACCAATAGGAGTTAACGAAAAATAGAAAAACACTGCATGAAGCTAAAAAGGAAGATCTCAACTGCGCGCTGGAAAAGTGACCCATCAATATCGCGGTGGACACATGATACTTGATGCTGATCGTGAAACAAGAACGATCTATTCTGATGAACTGAAAATGGAAGGGAATCGTGAATATTCAAGGTTGGTTGCAGAATTTAAGAAAAACTATGGCATTAAATTTTTAAAGATTTGTATCGATAAAGCATCTGCTAATCACAAAGCAGCAGGTTTGCCAAGGTCATCACTGATGAAAGCCTGACACCAGAACAAGTCTGTAATGCCCAGGAAACATCACCGTTTTGGTGCTATTGTCCCAGAAAGACACTGACCACTGCGGATCAGACAGTCCCAATGGGAATGAAGGAAGCCCAGGACGGAACTGTGCTGGGTTGTGCTGATGTGACAGGCACACATAAGCCCAAACTGCTGTGACAGGCAAAGGCTGCCTTTTCAAGGAGTGGTCTTCTACCAGTTCATTATTGTCCTAACCTAAGACGTGAATTACCAGGGATGACTTTCTTCTTTCTTCTTCCTCTTCCTCCTCCTCCTCCTCTTCCTCCTCTTCCTCCTCCTCTTCCTCTTCCTCCTCTTCCTCCTCCTCCTCTTCCTCCTCCTTTTCCTCCTCTTCCTCCTCCTCTTCCTCCTCCTCCTCTTCCTCCTCCTCCTCCTTCTTCCTTCTCCTCCTTCTTCCTCCTCCTCCTTCTTCCTCCTCCTCCTTCTTCCTCCTCCTCCTCCTTCTTCCTCCTCCTCCTTCTTCCTCCTTCTTTCTTCTTCCTCCTCCTCTTCCTCCTTCTCCTCCTTCTTCCTCCTCCTCCTTCTTCTTCCTCCTTCTTTCTTCTTTCTTCTTCCTCCTCCTCCTCCTCTTCCTCCTCCTCCTCTTCCTCCTCCTCCTCTTCCTCCTCCTCCTCCCCCTCCTCCTCCCCCTCCTCCTCCTCCTCCCCCTCCTCCTCCTCTTCCTCCTCTTCTTCCCCCTCCTCCTCCTTCTTCCTCCTCCTCCTTCTTCTTCCTCCTTCTTTCTTCTTTCTTCTTCCCCCTCCTCCTCCTCTTCCTCCTCTTCTTCCCCCTCCTCCTCCTTCTTCCTCCTCCTCCTTCTTCTTCCTCCTTCTTTCTTCTTTCTTCTTCCTCCTCCTCCTCCTCTTCCTCCTCCTCTTCCTCCTCCTCCTCCTCTTCCTCCTCCTCCTCCTCTTCCTCCTCTTCCTCCTCCTTCTTCCTCCTTCTTTCTTCTTCCTCCTCCTCTTCCTCCTTCTCCTCCTTCTTCCTCCTCCTCCTTCTTCTTCCTCCTTCTTTCTTCTTTCTTCTTCCTCCTCCTCCTCCTCTTCCTCCTCCTCCTTTTCCTCTTCCTCCTCCTCTTCCTCCTCTTTCTCCTCCTCCTCCTCTTCTTCCTCCTCCTTCTTCCTCCTCCTCCTCTTCCTCCTCCTCCTCCTCTTCCTCCTCCTCCTCCCCCTCCTCCTCCTCTTCCTCCTCCTCCTCCCCCTCCTCCTCCTCTTCCTCCTCTTCTTCCCCCTCCTCCTCCTCTTCCTCCTCCTCCTCCTCTTCCTCCTCCTCCTCCTCTTCCTCCTCCTCCTCTTCCTCCTCCTCCTCCTCTTCCTCCTCTTCCTCCTCCTTCTTCCTCCTTCTTTCTTCTTCTTCTCCTTCTTCTTTTGAGGTGGAGTTTCACTTATTGCCCAGACTTGAGTGCAATGGCGCGATCTTGGCTCACCACAACCTCCACCTCCCGGGTTCAAGCAATTCTCCTCCCTCAGCCTCCTGAGTAGCTGGGATCACAGGCATATGCCACCATGCCCAGCTAATTTTTTGTATTTTTAGCAGAGGGAAGGATGGCAGATGGAGCCAGGCAGAGGGGAAGATGGATGGCATAAAGAGCCAGGCAGAGGGGAGGATGGCATACAGAGCCAGGCAGAGGGGAGGATGGCAGACAGAGCCAGGCAGAGGGGAGGATGGCAGACAGAGCCAGGCAGAGGGGAGGATGGCAGATGAGCTAGGCAGAGGGGAAGATGACAGACAGAGCTAGGCAGAGGGGAGGATGGTAGACTGAGACATCAGAAAGAGGAGAGCTGTGGCTCAGGTTAAGGGATTCTTTTGTGTGTTAGAATCTTAAATTTTTAAAGAGAGATATTCATATGACATACAATTCACCATGTTACTTGATTTTATTTTATTTTTATTTTTTGTGACAGGGTCTCACTGTTGCCCAGGCTGGAGCACAGTGGAATCATTACAGCTCACTATAGCCTAGACCTCCTGGGCTCAAATCCTCCCACCTCAGCCTCTCAAGTAGCTGGACTACAGGGACATACCACCACGCCAAGATGATTTTTGTACTTTTTGTAGAGATGGGTTTCTCCATGTTGCCCAGGCTGGTCTCAAACTCCTGGATTCAAGAGATCCTCCCACCGTGGCCTCCCAAAGTGCAGGGATTACAGGTGTGTGCCCCTGCACCCGGCCAAGGTGATGCATTTCTAATGGTCACCCAGTGATAGCGTACTTGGTTTTGGATTGACTTAGGAACAAGGGCCAGCTAGAGTCTGTAGGGTCCCCTCAGGGAATCCAGTTGCTGCAGCCAAGCTGGAGACCTCCAGGCAGTGAGACTGAAGTGGGGAAAATGAAAGAAAATGAGTCGACTCTCAGAAAGGGTCTTGCTTAAGAGCAGAAAAAAAATACTGGGTATCGAAGAAGGAATTGCCTTTCAATACTCAAGTAGAAAACACATCACATTGCATTGTTTTTGTAAATTATGTCAGATGTGGCTCTGAGCTTCTACTTGCCAAGATCAACAAAAACTTAATATTGTTTTTTCCTCCACTCCCTGGTATGGCAAATAATTATCTCCCCTTCTCTAGGGCTGTAGCAAAACCCAGGAAAAATAGAGGGGGTGACCTGGGCCTGTGTGGCCTTGGACACCACCGAGACAGTCATGGCCCAGACTCACCCTGCCCTCTGTACTCAGCAAACCCACCTCACCCGCTTCTGTTCAGCTCACCCTTCTCCAAACACTTCTGCGTGTCCACTTATCCTTGTTGGCAATCTAGCCAGATTGTTTTAATCAGCCTTGTTCTTCCTTAAAAAAAAAAAAAAAAAAATGCCTGTTTGGTCAGTCTCCCTGGCACCCTGCAGTCAGATAAACAAATCAACCTCAAACACATAAACAGTCAGTGAACCTCGTCTCTGGGGTGAGAGAACCCCAAATTCTAGAACACAAAGCTGGCCTGCTCTTGGGGAAAATCACCCTTCACTTTCTTTTTACCTGTGATGAGTCTTTGAAAGGAAAAATTCCCAAGAGACCAATTCATTTCTTGATAATTCACCCAATTATATGAATTCGAAGCCTCCTAAGTGTAATATAATCACTTAGCAGCTGGAAAAATCAAGTTGTGAAATGGATCCTTGAACTTTAAATATTTGACCATGTCAGAGTAGAGTGGTTTTAACAACTATTAAAAGTTTCATCGTTTTTTTGTTTTTGTATTTTTTTTGTTGAGATGAAGTCTCGCTCTCCTGCCTAGGCTGGAGTCCAGTGGCATGATCTCAGCTCACTGCAACCTCTGCTTCCCGGGTTCAAGCCGTTCTCCTGCCCCAGCCTTCTGAGTAGCTGGAACTGCAGGTATGTGCCACCATGCCTGGCTAATTTTTGCACTTTTAGTAAAGAAGGGGTTTCTCCGTATTGGCCAGGCTGACCTCTAACTCCTGACCTCAGGTCATCCACCATCCTCAGCATCCCAAAGTGTTGGCATTACAGGCGTGAGCCACTGCGCCCGGCCTGGTTTTGAACTCCAACCTGTTTTGCAATTGTACTTTTTAATTGAAAGCACATTCTCGCCAGTTTTGTGTTTTATTGGCCGTAAGTGTCTGTTCCTGGCACTTGGGCACATGTAGAGGACAATGGTGAGCAGAAGTCACGTGGATAAAACAGCAGCTTTGCAGTTTCAAGCCTCTTCTGAGTCTTCAAGAACATCTGAGTTACACTCGCCATTCACTGTGAGAAGCCACTCTTTTTTCCTTCTTTCTCTCTTTCTCTTTCTTTTTCTCTTTCTTTCTTTCTTTCTTTCTTTCTTTCTTTCTCTTTCTTTCTTTTTTTTCTTTTTCTTTTTCTCTTTCTTTCTTTCTTCTTTCTTTCTCTTTCTTTCTCTCTTTCTCTTTCTTTTTTTTTCTTTTTCTTTTTCTCTTTCTTTCTTTCTTTCTGCTTTCTTTTTGCATCCTTATTTCTGTAATACCCTGCACCTCTTATGCAGGAGCCCTGTGAATATCTGCTTTTGAGCATCACATATTGTGACTGAGAATTATGAGATACGTTTTCATAAGTTTTAAAAATAATAATCTTGCTCTGTCATGTAGGCTGGAGTGCAGTGGCACAATTATAGTTCACTGCAGCCTTGACTTCCTGGGCTCAAGCAATCCTGCCTCAGCCTCCCGAGCAGCTGGGACTACTGATGCCTGTTCACTATACCCGGCTAATTAAATTTTTTCTCTGTAGGGACAAGGTCTTACTATGTTGCCCAGGCTGGTCTCAAACTTCCGGCTTCAAGGGATCCTTCTGCCTCTCACAGTGCAGGGATTATAGGTGTGAGCCGCTGTGTCCAGCCTGGTTTTCATATTTGTGTATGCTTTATGTCTCGGTGTGTGCATCTACATCTATATATCTATTCATATATCTATCTCCAGATGGGCTCCTTTGGGCAAATTATTAACTTCTCTGTGCCTTCCTTTCCTCATCCGTAAAATGGAAATTATGGAATCTGCACCACAGGTGTTTGAGAAGATTAAGTGAGCCGACAATACATTTTGAACAGTGCTAAACATACACTCAGCTCTCCATACATGTTAGATATGAAACATAAACAGATATTCTATAATATGCTGCCCTCTGTAAACCATCCAAGGTGATTATAGAGAAAGCTGTTAGCTAAAAAATGTTAAGTACAACTTAGGGGTTAAAGAGTGTCTGCAGAAATATTATCTGTGATACAAAGTGGGGGCCATCTGTCCAGGCAGAATGCCAGAGGAGGGAGAAGGCGGGTGGGGAGGTCCCATGAACAGACGGTGAGGACAGAAACCCCTCCCTGTGTGGAAGTCCCAACAGCTGGGAGCAATGTTCCGGGTCCCTAGCTGTCCCTTCTTACAGCAAGACGACGCCCAAGCAGAGTGCCCCAAGAGGAAGTGGCTTCAGGTTCCCTCCTGCTTGCTTCATCCCTACTGCTGTCATCCTCCTAAGCACACAGCGCGGCCTCTTCCCTCACCTCACGGAAGACTGGTGGCCCCTTCTCGTCCTCTCCTTTCCTTGTCTCCTGTACAAACCTGGGAGAAGGGCAATCTTTGGAGAGCTTTCTGCCTTCACCTTTGTTTTTTGGTTCATCTCTTACTGATCTCAGGAGAAAATGAAAGGAGAGAGTGACAGAACCTCAAGGTTTAAAAAATGTAAATCCGGGGCGGGCGCCGTGGCTGAAGCCTGTAATCCCAGCACTTTGGGAGGCCGAGGCGGGTGGATCACGAGGTCAAGAGATCGAGACCATCCTGGTCAACATGGTGAAACCCCGTCTCTACTAAAAATACAAAAAGTTAGCTGGGCATGGTGGCACGTGCCTGTAATCCCAGCTACTCAGGAGGCTGAGGCAGGAGAATTGCCTGAACCCAGGAGGCGGAGGTTGCGGTGAGCCGGGATCGCGCCATTGCACTCCAGCCTGGGTCACAAGAGCGAAACTCCGTCTCATAAATAAATAAATAAATAAATAAATAAAGGAAACCCAAGATGTATCTGGGAATCACAAACCCCAATGCCTACAGGGTGCAAGCCACAGGGTCAGGGGGCAGGGCACCAGACGAGAGGGAGTAGGCCACAAGCTATGGAAGAGTCTCAGAGCAGTGCGTGTCGACTACGCTAATATTTTGTTTGGTTTTGAGTCAGGGTCTTGCTCTGTTGCCCGGCCTGGAGTACAGTTCCTTGATCACAGCTCTTTGCAGCCTCGACCTCCTGGGTTCACATGATCCTCCTGACTCAGCCTTCCAAGTAGCTGGGACTACAGGAGCACGCCACCTTGCCAGGCTAATTTTTGTGTTTTTGCAGGGATGAGATTTTGCCATGTTGCCCAGGCTGGTGTCGAACCCTTGGGCTCAAGCAATCCTCCCATCTTCGCCTCCCAAAGTGTTGGGATTATAGGCGTGAGGCACTGTGCCAGCGTATTTTTAGTTTTTGAAGAGACTTTGAAATTATAGGTCCTTGTGTAAAATCTCCCAGTTTATAAATAATGATTATGGCTTTAGAAAAAAATATAAAAATCTGGCCAGGCACAGTGGTTCATGCCTGTAATCCCAGCTGTTTGGGAAACTGAGGTGGGTGGATCACTTGAGGTCAGGAATTCAATACCAGCCTGCCCAACAGGGTGAAACCCCATCTCCACTAAAAATATAAAAATTAGCCAGGTGTGGTGGTGCATGCCTGTAATTCTAGCTTCTCAGGAGGCTGAGGGAGGAGAGGTGGAGGTTGCAGTGAGCCACGAGATCGCATCACTGCACTGCCACGGTGATAGTGAGACTCTGTCTCAAAAAAAAAAAAAAAAGAAAAAGAAAAAAATCAAAATCTCATGCAAATCAAAGTCAAGCCATAGCCTTTGCAACATTAGCCCACAGCAATCTTCTTTTAGCCCAGACAACTATTAGATGTGTTTCTAGTCCTCTACCATGTTAGAAAATCAGAAATATTTAATTTACTTGAATTTGGATCATGAATTTTATTTTATTTTATTTTATTATTTATTTTTCACTCTGTCACTCAGGCTGGAGTGCAGTGGCACAATGTCAGCTCACTGCAGCCTCCGCCTCCGCCTCCTGGGTTCAAATGACTTTCCTGCGTCAGCCTCTACGAAGCTGGGACTACAGGAGCATGCCAACATGTCTGGCTAGTTTTTGTATTTTTAATAGAGACAAGGTTTCACCATGCTGGCCAGGCTGCTCTCAAACTCCTGACGTCAAGTGATCCACCTGCCTCGGCCTCCCAAAATGCTGGGATGATTGTGAACCACCGCACCCAGCCTATTTTTTAAATTGACAAATAATTATTTATTAATTATTTCAAGAGTCCTTGACCTAAAATGTTAAGAATAAATGTCTATAAGGTATAACACTTTATAGATGTTATAATTTTTTAAATGTAAGAATTTATAGGCTTCTAAATTGAAACATAAGCTATTAATGAATCTAAAACTATTTTATTTATTTCTCTGAAGTTGGAGTCATTTATCTTGTTTCCCCAAATTATATCTTTAGCTATTACAAACAAAGTGTTTTTTTTTAAAAAAACACCCAAGACAGCTGTTTTAAATAAATAAAATAAAGTCTTCTAAAATGAAACTGTTTCCAAAATACAAAACCAATAATGGATTTTATCTTTTTAATTTAGTTTAATTAAAAAAATTTTTTTTAAGAGACAGGGTCTCGCTATGTTACCTAGGCTGGTCTCAAACTCCTGGACTCAAGAGATCCTCCTATCTCGCCTCCCAAAAAGTGCTGGGATTACAGCCACTGCAGCTGGCTCCAATAACAGATTTAGAATTTGGATCCTGGTAGATGAGGGTGGTTCAGCTAGGGAAGACTGTTAGACCTAAAAGATGGTTCATCTATTTCAGAAACTCTCTCTACATGCTCTCCCAAAAGCAATACGCACATTTTGTTTAAGGATGCGAAATAAATATAAAAACAAAAGATGTGCTTTATATCTTGTGACTTAATTGAAATGTCCTTGAAAGGAGAAAATGTGCCATTCTAAACCCTTCCTCCTTCTTTCTGGTTGGAATGCAGACATAATGACCGGAGCTCCAGCAGTAACACTGGTCCATGAGGACTCTTGAAAGTGGAAGCCACAAGCCATCCACAGAGTAGGAACAAGATGGAAAGAGGACGAGTCTCTGACACCAGAAGGACTAAACCAGCTGGGGCTGTTTTTCTTAGAATTTACTGAATGTGAAGGAGAACCTCTATGTTGTTTGTCATTATTTTTGGTTTTTCTCTAACAACTAATTTTTTTTTTAAGAGACCAAGTCTCCCTATGTTTCCCAGGCTGGTCTTGAACTCCTGGGCTCAAGGGATTCTCCTCATTTTGGCCTCCCAACTTTCTGGGATTACAGGCATGAGCCACCACGCCAGGCCCTGACAACTAACTTTTCTCCTGACAATATGTCTAAAAGGAGAAACTACATTTCCAATAGGCTTGGGTTTTTTCCCTTGTAGATTTCTTCTGTATTAGCTATAGTGTTTTTATTTCCCTGATGGAAGGAAAAACATATAGTATATTATTTATTTTCATCAATTTTAACCTACTAGTAAGCCTATCCCCACATCCTCATTACATTTTTGTGATTTAAAATAAATTTCATTATGTTACATTGATATAGAACATATAGTGATGTTACATTTTTAAAGAGAAAGAAGCTTATTATTATAAGAAACTTAATCAAATTTATAACATAATAGAAAGAACATTCATAAAATTACAAGTATACAAGATTATTCTAAGAATTCTATCATTAAAAGCATATTCATATTGGTCATTTCTTCATTTAACCTGGTGAGTCCAATTTTAAAGAGAAATTCTGGCTCGTCATGTTATCTACCTGGCCTAATTCATAAATTTTTATGATTTAAGTCTTTGAGGCAATGGCTGGTTCTATTAGTGGTTTCTAACCTTCCGTTTCCAGAGCAGATCTCAGTGGCTTTTGGAAAACACTATCTTATTGGCCGGATATATTTTCTTAACCATCTGTACTCCGTAACTTAGTGACGCTGATACATAAAGTCCTCCTGGCTTGTTCATCATTTCTGTAGAGTGCTTCTTATCTCTGGGTTTTCTGAAGCAGGTAAAAACTCATACTTATGAGCTACATAATTTGCAAGGCCCAGCGCAGAATGAAAATGGGAGGTCTCTTGTTCAAAACTCTTAAGAATTTCAGCATGGTAACAGCAGAGCATCAAACCAAGTCAGGGCCCTGCTAAGCAACGAAACCCTGTGTTACAGTCCAGGTCACATGCGCCCATCAATCCAGCCTTGGATAGATCCTAAATTGAATCAGCTCCCACACCAATCGACTGACAGAAGAAGCTACATGCCATTTCTAGGTGTATTATTTACCTCAGTCTCTGCTATGCTTTTACACAAAGTTCAGCATTTAATCCAAATTGTAAGAGATCCCAAAAAGCAAGATCAAACAAAACAAAACAGTCAACAGAACCAGACAGAGAGATGGTGCAGATGCTCAAACTAGCAGAGGTTTTAACCGATTAATATGTTAAAGAGTCTAGTGAAAAGGTGGACAACCCATGACAGAGAGTTTGATCAGAGAGATGGAAACTCTAAGAAAAGAGTTAAATGAAACATGAGCAATGAGAATGATTGTTATAGACTGACTGGTGTAACCCAAAATTTACATATTGAAGCCTAGTCCTCAATGTCACTGTATTTGGAAATAGAGCTTATCTTAGCAAACTAATACAATCATGGCCTCAGCTTTAAAGGATTCCTTCAACAGGCCTATTCACAAAATGAATGTAGCAGGAGAAAGAATTGGTGAAGATGAGGAAGATCAGTGGAAGTTATCCACACTGAAACTTAAGGAATAAAAAGAGAGGAGAAAAATCAGCTGGTGTGGTGACTCATGCCTGTAATCCAAGCACTTTGGGAGGCTGAGGCAGGTGGATCACTTGAGGTAAGGAGTTCGAGACTAGCCTAGCTAACATGGTGAAGCCCCATCTCTACTAAAAATCCAAAAATTAGCCAGGGGTGATGGTACACACCTGTAATCCCAGCTACTCCAGAGGCTGAGGCAGGAGAATTGCTTGAACCCGGGAGGTGGAGGTAGCAGCTAAGATAATACCACTGCACTTCAGCAAGACTCTGTGTCAAAACAAAACAAAACAAAAACCTCAGTTAATCAAAACAAGGAAGGGCATAAGAAGAAAAGGAACAAGGAATAGATGGGACAAACACATAGCATGATAATAGATTTAAATTGGGTCATATCAATAATTAAGTTAAATATACATGGTTTAAACAGCTCCAGAAATTAGATAAATTATCAGATTGGATTTTAAAAAGCAGGATCCAACTATTTTCTTACTACAACAAACCCATTATAAATATAAAGACACAGACAGGTTAAAAGTAAAACAATAGAAAAAAAGTACCATGCTAACACTAATAAAAAGAAACCCGAAAGAGCTGTATTAATATCAGACAAAGTGGACTTCAGGATAAAGAATATTACCAGAGATAAAGAAGGACATCACAGACTAACAGGGTAAATGAATCAGGAAGACATTTCAGTCTTATATGTGAATGTACTTAACAACAGAACTTCAAAACACATTGAGCAAAAACTGGTGGAACTAAAAGGAGACATTTTAAAAAGTCCATAATTACGGTTGAAGTGGATCCAACTCTCCTCTCTCAGTAATTCATAGAACAAGCAGATGAAAAAAATCAGTAAGAATATAGAAGATTGAAAACACTATCAAGACATTTCATCCAACAACAGCAGATAGAATACACATTTTTTACAAATACACATGGAACATTCACCAAGAGAGAGCCCTTTCTCAACCATTGAAAATAGATTCTATTCTGGGCCTCAATAAACATAAAATGATTTATATCATATAAAATGTATTATCTACATGACATAATTAAAATGAAAATCATTAATAGAATGGTAGCTAAAAAATTCTCAAATATTTGGAAATACAACAAAACATTTTCAAATAATCCACAAGTCAAGGAAGAAATCACAAGGTAGAATTTTTTTTTTTGACTGAATGGGATGAAAATGCATTTCTCCAGGCCAGGCGTGGTGGCTCATGCCTGTAAATCCCAGCACTTTGGGAGGCCGAGGTGGGTGGATCATGAGGTCAAGAGATCGAGACCATCCTGGTCAACATGGTGAAACACTGTCTCTACTAAAAATACAAAAATTAGCTGGGCATGGTGGCGCATGCCTGTAGTCCCAGCTACTTGGGAGGCTGAGGCGGGAGAATTGCTTGAACCCAGGAGGCGGAGGTTGCGGTGAGCCGAGATCACGCCATTGCACTCCAGCCTGCGTAACGAGCGAAACTCTGTCTCAAAAAAAGGGAAATGCATTTCTTAACTTGAGGGATGCAGCTAAAGCAGTGCTTAGAGGGAAATTTATAGTATTAAATGCCTGTATTAGAGAAATAGAAAAATCTCAATTCAATGATTTCAGCTTTTACCTAAAGAAAGTACAAAAAGAAAAGCAAATAAAGCTGAAAGTAAACAGAATGAAGAAAATAATAAATAGTAGAAGTCAATGAAATTGAAACAAAATCAATAGAGAAAGTTGAGGATACTAATAGTTTGTTTTGAATCGAGCGTTAAAATGCACAACCTTGTAGCCAGACTTTTCATTTAGTTTTTAGTGAACACCAGTGCCACTTGCCCATCCCAGACTATTTTCTCAAGTGACAAAAGATGCAAATTAAAAATAAAATGAGTTAAAAGTGGGCCATAGCCTTTCTCTCTTTTTATAGGTATAAAAGTAAAATACTGATAAAATAAAGCACAGCAAATTGCATGTTTTGAAAAGTTTGCAAATAACACAAGTATTACAGAATTTAGAAAAATATGTTAAAAAATTAATCATCTATCATACTTTAGTATAATGTTTTCAGCTGCTTTTTTTAAATTAATTTTTTTTTTTTTTTTTCCTGAGGTAGAGTCTTGCTCTGTCGCTGAGGCTGGATCTCGTTCAGGCCACGTTTGCCCGAGGGAAACTCAGAGGGCTCTCTCAAGCTTTCTCCCACTTTTCCTCCTTCCCGTGCGCCAGGACTTGTACTCCTGGCTGCTGCTTCCAAAATGCAGCCTGACTGCCCTAGGTTTTTGGGAATCACAATTTAATGTATTCTATTTTAGAACCTATCTTTCCTCTACAAATTGCAAAGCATCAAGAAGCAGAGACTTGGGGCATAGACTTCACCATCCCTCTTTTCCTTTTCTCTTCCTTCACAGTAAAGGCAAAGAGTGGCATGGGTGGGAAGGAAACCCGTTCTCCTGCCTGTCCCACATCCCCCCACCTTTTCGGTTTTGCACCTGGTGGAGTGTTTCTGGCACCCAGCAGAGCAGCACCTGGTGACTTTGTTCTCACAAGTCCACGTGTAGGTGTTGCATGAGAACAGAGCATACAGTCTGGAGCCTTAAGGTGGGAACTCTGCCGCACTGTAACACTTTACACATCATTTTGTCCCAACAGCAATCAAGCCTCTTGTTTCTAGGTTTTCCTTAAGGAGTGGTGTTAAATATTTGTAAAATGAACACGTAAAGAACCTAGAGTCCAGAGGTCTTAACAGATGGCGTTGCATCCTCATCGTGAGGCACGTGGACGGGGGTTTCCGACCACCTGTGTTCGCCCCTAGAATTCAGATTGATCTGGGCACCTCTGGGAAAGCTATGGGGCAGGACCTGTGACTCTAGTTGCATTTTTGGAGGAGTGAGGCTGGGGGAGAAGAATAGGGAGTAATACAGAGGACATCCTGGTACATGTCTCAGAAAGTCTTCCATGGGTCTGCGTCAAAAACGCATGGAAAGAAAAGCTGCGGGCGGAAGCCGGGGATGCAGGATTCATGAAGGATTCTGCGAGACTCTAGGACACAGTCACTTGTTTTAGTGCCCAGGTAATAAAACAGGGCATATAGTGGGAAGGAGGAGGGTGTTACCCTCCCATAGGTGGAGCCCAGGAAGGCTGTCTGGTCAGACGCTGAGGACTCCTAAAAATATCTGAAGGAGATGGGGTGTGTGTGTGTGTGTGTGTGTGTGCGCATGCACGCATATGGGCTGTCACCAAGAGTGCAGTCTCATCTGAACCTGCAGGCTTTGAAGGAGAGAGGGAGAGAGAGAGAGAGAGAGAGAGAGAGAGAGAGAGAGAGAAGGGAGAGGTTATTACCAAGAAATTGGTCTCATTTGAATCTGTAGACTCTGAAGGAGACTGTGCATGTGTGGGGGTGGGGTGGGGATTATTATCAGGAGCGTGGTCTCATCTGAACCTGCAGGTTCTGAAGGAGACTGTGTGTGTGTATGTGTGTATGGGTTATTTACAGGTTATTACCAAAAACACGGTCTTATCTGAGTCTGCAGTCTCTGAAAGAGACTGTGTGTGTGCACGGCTTATCACCAAGAGCACAGTTTCATCTGAACTGCAGGCTGGTGAGGCCAGGAGAGATTCACTCAGGGGTCAGTCCAAAAAACAGAACCTGGCTAGGAATTTCAAACAGGTAATTTTTTAAGAAAGAGTTTTATTGGAGGTTTAGTGAACATATAAATATATGTACACATTCAAAGTACACAGTTTGGTAAGTTTTGGCATAAGTACACACCCATAAAA